CCCCAAAACCCCAAAACCCCATGAGATATCTATAAAAGAATTTGAAATAAAATGATTAATGAAATTAAATGTAATTTAATCATGAATGCTACTAATTATTTTAATGCATTTAAAAAATGACTTATTTAGCCTCAGTTGCTGAATCTCCTTCTCTTAGAGCTTATTATTTTGTGAGCTTCGCTTTATTTTAGCATGAATGCTTTCATATTTTACTCAGTAATGGTTTATATTTGCTCAAGCTAGGATTATTACATTTATCTAAGCTATATCTGCTGTTGTTACTTCAGGGAACTCATTTAGGAAGGGGATGCGGGTCTCTGACTATTGATAGGTTAGAAATTCTGAAGTGTATCATTTTTTAATCTTATACTTTCTTTTATACTCATCTGTAGATTTAAATCTGGAGGAGCTAAGTGTCCTTCCCTGCTTTATGATTACTAGGTGCTTATCCCAATACTTTAAGTCATCTTCTCATCAGTAATTATTATTTTAGGTTGCGAGTCAAGATGATAATTGGACTTAAGGCTGGAACTTGGATTAATATTATTTCTAAGTGAGTTTTTCCTCTACTTTGCCTTTTTTGTTTTATTCTCTTATATTTGCTAGTATAATGTTATTTATTAGTTATGGTTCATAAATTAGTCACCAAGTATCACATAGATATCTTATTTTTTCTAAGGATTTTAGGTTTTCTTAATAGAAATTTAGTTTTATGGCCTAATCATTGAAGGTCTATTATCTATCTATATTACTTACGGAATACTTTAGGAGTTTAGATATCTATGATTACAACCACAGTTAGTATTTTGATGAGAAATGCATCCATTGTTATTGTTTTAATTGTTCATATTCAATGTAGAAGATTTATGAGAACTATATCTATGTTAAGCAGCTTATCGACTTTGAAAAAATGATTATCCAGTTTGAATAGATGAGGAGGTATAGTCATCCATGAAGGGTTAAGACACCAAATTAGCTTTGAGCATTTTATTTCCAGAATCATGATACTTAATAGTTACTGAATTTAAATCATCCATTTGATTATCGATGGAATTTATTGAGCATGATTGGAAAGAAGATTAGTTTAGGGGCGATTTTGATCTTTATATACTCAAGTTTTAATTATTATTCAATGTATATATTCTTCTTTTTAGGTCTTTTTATTATCTTTATTTGGTTAAGCTCAGTGCAGGCCTTGGTTTAGGATTCGAGAAGTAATTAAGATTCGAGATATTATTGAGATTGATTTTAGTTTTAAACATTTTTTAATACCAACTCTAATTTCTCAATTAATCCTTAGAATAATAGTCACTTGGTTTTTCTTCTTAAATTGTTGGAGATTATAGTTCAACGATAGACTCCTTAATTTAACTATCTTTTCTCTGTCTAGGATTCACAGATTTTGATTAGATCTCCCGAGACTACCTTCTAACAAGACTAATTGGCATATTAGAAAACGTTGGGAATTCATTAGTGTTTTTAGGAGATCTATTGACAGTACTTCCATTACTGCTCATCAAATTCTTGGGGCTTTGCACTGATGTAACTAAATTAGGGACCATCAGGCTAGATATTTTCAATTTTTCAATAGGTTCTTCCTTAATTGGAGAAATATTATCTAATATATCTTTTTTGGATGGAACTAAACCTGATTGATAGTGGAAAAGTTAACTTTATTGATTTTAATTAAGAATACTACCTGAACTAAGTCTTTTTTATGGGAAATTTCTTCTATTGTTTTTTTCATTTTGGCTTATTGGCCCCATACTCATATCTGTCATTTTTGTATTAGTTCTGTTAATATTTGAAAGAGCATCTTTAGATTGCATTTCACTAAACTGCATATTAAAGTTGAAGTTTGAAAGCGTGAAAGAATTAATACTGCTGGGATAAGATGTAAGTTTATGTTGAAGTTGCTAATTTCTATTGTTGTATGGTTAATTCTTTTGTTAAATCATTTTCGGTTCGATTATCTTAGGGATTCCTTGTTGATCAACTCCAAACATCATATTGTCAGCAATTATTGATTAGTCATTATGAATAAGCTTTACAACGTCATAGCTGAGTTGCTTATTAAAGTCATCTTAGGGCTACAAACTTCTCAATGAAATTTCAATTTTCTTTTGTCCAATTTTCTGCTATTCTTCCATTTCTCCATCTAAGTTTTTTCGTGGATCTTAAGGAGATTTTACGGCAATGTATGGCTATTTGATACAATTGTTATTAAATTTATTCTTCTATTTAGGCACCTCTTTTAAAGTCTCAATTTTATCTTATTTTCTACATAGCATATGATAGATTGCAGTGTGAGAATTGAACTTGTTTCTTATTACATCTGCTCTAAGTTATTCAGGGAGGATGTTGAAGTTTTTATGGATTTTTTAAATGACAATTTCATCAATTGGATAGGGGCCAGGTGGTAATATTCCTTATTTATTTTAGAAAGGAATTAAATTGAAAAACTCTGTCTGTTTTATTGCTTTTATATCCGCCCTTTAATTTGGATCTCTGACAAATATTCTCTCAATTAGTGATAATGACTTATCACTCAAGATCTTTGGCTTAACATATTCAACTCTTCGGATTTTATCAGTCAATTTATAAGGAATACCATCAGTGAAGGGAAGCTAGTTAGTTAAGAGATTATATAATATAACACCAAGAGCCCAGATATCTGTGAATAATCCATTATATTCACGAGGAGAATCCGAGGTTTCAAGAATTTCTGGAGCAGCATAACAAAGAGATCCACATTATGATTTGAGCATTTAGCTGGTTGAATAGAAATTACTAAGACCGAAATCTATGATTTTTATGTTGTCCTCATGATCAATTAAGATGTTTTAAGGCTTCAGGTCCCTATGTGCAATACCTATTTAATGTATGTATTCAATTGCACAGATCATTTGTTAGAAATACTTGCAAGCCTATTGCTCTGACAGCCTGCTCCTTCGAAGCACTTTGGATAGGTCACTAGTACAATGCTCCATGATTAGATATATACTGTCCTCATCCTCATAAATCTATAAATTTACTTAAATCAAATCAACTCATGCCAGATCAATGAGTAATGGCATTAAAAAATACATCTCAAATGATAAGTAATTGTGAAGCTTACCTCATAAAGTTAAATGACATAAGGATGACGCATCTTCTTCATAATTTTCATCTCTCTATTTAGTCTCTAATGATCTTGTGCATTTTTGATTTTAGATTTGTCTAGAATTTTAATAGCAACCTATAAATTGATTCTAGTTAAAATCTCATTGACTAACATTATGGAGGGTAAGTTTATGCTGTGCCAGTACTACCTTACCAAACTACCCCTATCCGATTCGTTACTCTATAGAGATAAAGTTAATATCATAACTAATGATTTAATTTGCAAAATTTACTTATAACAAAGTTTCCAATGACTTTTTCTTGTAAACTCTCATCAATTGAGCAATTCATCTAAAACTAAACTGCTTTTAGTTAAAGTTATTAATGACAATTTTTAATTAATAAGTTTTACTAGCAAGATGAGAATCACAAAAATCTACTTATGGGGTTTTGGGGTTTTGGGGTTTTGGGG